ACACAGGGTCTTCTGGGGCACCCAGGCTGGAGTGCAATAGCACCATCAGGGCTCACTGCAGCCTCAACCTCCTGGGCTCAAGGAATCCTCCCACCTTAGCCTCCTGAGTAGCTGGGACTACAGGCACACTGCACCACGCCTGGCTAATTTTTAAAAAAGCTTTTTGGTAGAGGCAGGAGTCTCACGACGTAGCCCAGGCAGGTCTTGAACTCTTGGCCTCAAACGATCCTCCTGCGTTGGCCTCTCAAAAGTCCTGGGGTTACAGGCACGAGCCACTCATTGCACCTTGCCTCTGTTCACGTTTGCTGGACCCCTCCACCTGGCCCCAGGCAGAGGTGTCTGGCAACCAAAGGCCTGTGGTTGTGTAGCTAGAGTGGACTGAGGCCCTCTGAGCCATCGGGGGAGAGACCCTGAGTCGCCACTTTCTCCCCATTTCCCTTCACAACAGTTCCCTGAGGCCTGGAATGGTCCTTGGTGGGCAGGAAGGCCCATATCTGAGATTCGTTTGATAAATAGACGTCGAGTCCCTGCTCTGTGCCCATGCTGTACCAGCGAGAGACAGGCTGTGGCTGTCTTTGTACCACCTGGGGGCTCTGGACATGGGTTTATAGCAGCAGTTCTGGGTGCTCAGATGACACCCCCTCCCAGCCTGCAACACCCCACCACACGGCAAGATCCGTGTGGCCCCTAGGCTGGGGGAACATTTGAAGTTCCTGCTGTCCCCAGCAGTCAGCCTTGTGGGCCCCCGCCGGCCTATACGAAGGTTACTAGATAACCCATCCCCTGCGGTTCCAGTAAACACCTCCCCAGGGGGAAGGAGACCCAGAGGTAGCCTTGGGGGAGAAGTCTCCTAGGTCACCGGGGCCGTGGCTGCACCCTCGCCTGCAGGGAGCCAAAGGCCCGGGCCCACTCCCTAGCTGCTACCCCTAAGGCCTACAGGTGACATAATAGAGCCACACGACGCCCACAGGGGCCTGTGCTGTTACTGAAGGTCACAGCCCCGGTAGCCCTGGCAACCGTACAGAGAGGATCCGGGCAGCCCTGCAAGAAGGTGTCCGAGTTCCCTGGTTCCAATCCCACTCCTGAGACTGGGATCGCACAAGTCATCTGCCTCAGTTTCCTATTCTCCATTGGAGTGACAATGCAGACCTCATGGCTTGGCTGGGGGCACTGAAGGGAGTAACCTAAGAAAGCGCGGGGAACGCGGAAGCGCCTGGCGCTGCAGCCTCGGTCGCGGCGTCTTTCACTCCCGGGTTCCCCGCTTCCCTCCCCGGCAGCGACTCGCGCTTCTGTCTAGTAAGGCGAGGCCGGCGGGGGCTGCCGGGGCTGGAGCCGCCGTGGAGACGCCCCCTCCTTCCGCCGCTGGGCAGTGGCTGCGGGGGCGCCTGCGGGCATCCCGGGAATGCGGCGGCGCGGCCCCTCCGCGCGCGGATTCTCCTCATTCCAGCCGCGTGACGTGGGGGGCGGGGCGGAACTGCGGCCGCGAGACCCCGCCCCCACGGTCCCGCCCCACGCCTCGCCCGGAGGGGAGGGAGCGTCTGCACTGGCTCACGATCCTGTGCCCCGCGTCTGCTAAGGCGCTCCTCACCCCTGGATCCTCTCCTTGCTCGCTCTGGATTTTTGTTTTGTTTTGTTTTGTGACAGAGTCTCGCTCTGTCGCCCAGGCTGGAGTGCGGTGGCGCGATCTCGGCTCACCGCAGCCTCTGCATCCCAGGTTCAAGCCATTCTCCTGCCTCAGTCTCCTGAGTAGCTGGGACTACAGGCGCCCCACAACGCCCGGCTGATCTGTGTATTTTTAGTAGAGACGGGGTTTCGTCACCTTGTCCAGGCTAATCTTGAACTCCTGACCTCAGGTGATCCGCCCGCCTCGGCCTCCCAAAGTGCTGGGATGACAGGCGTGAGCCACCGCGCCCGGCCCCCCCCTCTGGATTTTAAACCTGGGGACACCGCAGCGGGCGCCTCCTTCCCTCACGTTGTCCGAGGCGACCCCATCCCCCTCGTTCCCGGCCCCACAGCTGGCGCCTCCGCTCGGGGGTCCCCGGGGCCGCCCTCCGGCCCGGCTGCTGCTATTGCAGTAACTAGCCTTCCCTTCCCCGCGGGGATGCAGCCCGCACCTGCCGCGGCCCCAAGCTCTCCCCAGGGAGCCGGGTTCGCCGACAGGGGCGGGGCGGGGCGCGCTGGGGCTTTGGGTCCCGGCTCTGCTTCTCCCCCAGGGCAAGTCCGTGTCCGCCGTTGTGTTCAGGCGCCGGGCAGGTGCGCGCCCGAGGTTTCCCCGCCGGATCGGAAGCGTGTCCCCGGGCCTGGCTCTCAGTGGGTCTCTGCTCGCTAGTGAGGACCGAGTGTCCGGCCGAGGGAGGGCGGCGGGGTCTACAGGGGGCCTGGGAGGTCCCTTTGCGCTCGGGCTCAGGCCACCCACCCCGCAGCCCTCCTGGGACTGGAGGGGAAAAGTGAAGTGACTTTGGGGACTCTGGTACACAGTCCCCCCGCGGGGAAGAGCCCGCTGAGCCTCCGGCCGGCTCTAGCCGCCCTGCCCCGCCCGCGCTGGGATCCGAGCCAGGGTTCGCCCCCCGCGGAGGAGGGCGGGGCTGCCGAGGCACGGTCGCGGGCGGGGGGCGTCCTGGGCTGGGCCGCGAGGGGTACAGAGGGACGGGGAAGGCCCCTCCAGAGGAAAGCAGGAGGGAGGACGGAGGCCTGGGCCCGGAGGCTAGCGGGGTGTCCCGGCTGGGAAGGCTGTGGGCCCCAAATGCCTTTGGTGGGGGTGGAGCGCGAATCTCCCAGATGCGAACTGCGGTCTCCAGAGGGGCCGGGAGTCAGCGCGCTTAGCCGGGGCTCCCCGTGGCCGTCCCTCTCCCCGGGGCGCGCGCTCCGCGCTGACGAGAAGAACCGATATCTCCGTGGGTTCGAGGCTCGGGCCTGGCCCGGCGCGCGTGGGAGTTGGACTGGGTCCCGCGGAAAACGCTCCGCCCGCCCGGCGCGCCGGCCGTATTTGGACATTGGTTCTATTTTTAACTTTCCCGGGACTGGAGTTCGGGGTTGGGGGAGGGAGATCTGCTTCCTCTGGGACCCGCGGGCCTCGGGGCCTGGCCCCGCTGCGGAGCTTCGTCCCAGGCCCGGAAGTGAGTTCCGGGTCGGTGTAGACGCGGCAGCCGCGCGGGTTCCGGGCTCCTCCCCGGCACCGACACCGCCCCTCATGGAAAACCTGACTCAGGGAGACCCCGCCCCCGCCTGGGAACCCCCCCCCCCGGCCCCCCGCCCAGCCCGCCCCCACCTGGAGGGGACCTGGCGGGGCCGCGCGGGAGGCGGGGGCGGGAGTGGGGGGCGGTGCGGGGGGCGGGCCGGCCCCTCCCTCGCTGACACCTCCGCCGCCGCCGAGCCCCGGACCCAGAGCGCGGGCAGCGGAGTGGGCGCCAGGCCGGCAAGGCAGGATGCGCTACCGGGCGTCGGTGAGCGGGGCGGGGGGGGGGGCGGCGAGCGGGGGTCCCGGGCGCTCCTTCCGGCGCCGCCTAGGCCCTAGGCCTCGCCAGGAAGCGGGCGCGGCCCGGGAATTCCGGGTGGAAAAACGTCCCGGGAAGTTGCCGGGGGAGGAGGCCGCGGCTGGAGGGCGCGCGGGACGCTCGGACCCTGGACGGGACGCGGCGCTGCGGGGGCTTCTGAGGACGCGGAGACCCCTGACCCGAGGGCGAGGGGCGGGACTGCGGCCGGATTTGGGGCGGAATTGGAGCCAGGCCGAAAGACGCCCCAGGCCAGGATCTGGGCCCTTCGAGGTCAGAGGAGACCCGAGGCCTCTGCGGGGTTCCCCCTCCCCCCCACCCCGAGGAGCCACCACCCTGCGCTTTTCTGAGCCTGGACACTCTGGGTGTCCGTTTCCTGGAGCCGTCAGACCCTCTTTGAAGGGGGATCTGAGCCCTGGATGCGGGGCCTGTACCCCGCTCACCCTCCAGTGGGACCCAGAGGCTGCTGGCGTCGCCTGGGAAAACCCCCACCCCTGAGGCTTCTCAGGACTCCGTTGAGGAGGCGCCTGGGGAGCCCAGCAGCCGGAGGGAAGAGAAAGGAAGGGAGGGTCCCACCCGGCCCACTCTGGCTGCCTCTGGAGTGGGCCGCTGAGCCCCGCGGGGGCGGGAGGCCTTCGGGGAAGCCCCGTGCTGTGGTCTGGGAGTCACTTGTTGCTCTGCTGTGGGCATGTGGGTGGGTCCCAGCGGAAAGGAGGCCCCACCCTGCCTGCAGAATTCACCCTGAGCCATTTGTCCTCCAAAGCACCTGTCACATGTGGCTCAGAGCTAAGGGACCTGAGGTCACCTGGTCTAACTCAACTCCTCCTTGAGGAAACCACCCAGAGAGAGGAGGGGATTGGCCCAAGGTCAACAGAGCATTCTTTAAGCAGTTCCTTCTTGCAACCCCGCTTTCTCCACCCAAAACCAGCGCCTCCCAGGTTCTGCGGACTTGCCCCCCAGTCCTCTGGTCCCGTGTGTGTAGTGGCCTGTGTGGTCTCTGCTCTGACTGCTTACATCCTTGGCGATCCCTTTGCTTCCACACTGGGACCCAAGCCCTCCACACCCACGAGGCCTGCACCCAGGCCCCCGGTACCCACGCCCTCCGCACCCAGACTCCCTGCACCCATGACCCAGACCCTTCACACCCACGACCCCGCACCCAGGCCCCCTGCACCCACGCCCTCCGCTCCCAGATTCTCTGCACCCATGACCCAGACCCTTCACATCCACGACCCCGCACCCAGGCCCCCCGCACCCACGCCCTCCGCACCCAGACTCTCTGCACCCATGACCCTGCACCCACATCCCCCGCACCCAGGCCGCCCACACCCACACCCTCTGCACCCATGACCCCCGAACCTAGACCCTTCATACCCGGGCCCTCCACACCCATGCCCCCACACCCAGACCTTGTGCACCCACGCCCTCTTCACCCACTCCTTCCCCACCCACTCCTTCCACACCTGCACCCCGCACCCCCACACCCAGGCCCTCTGAACCCGGCATGCTCACACCCCATGTCCAGCCCTGAGTCCACGAGCCCCCGAGTTCCCTCCCAGTCCCACAGGTGCAGTGGAGACGTGGACTTGCCCCACCCTGATGGCTCTGACCCTCTTCTGTGGCCCATTCTCTGCAGGCCCTGGGCAGCGACGGGGTTCGGGTGACCATGGAGAGCGGGCTGACCGCCCGGGACCGGGTGGGGGTGCAGGACTTCGTGCTGCTGGAGAACTTCACCAGCGAGGCGGCCTTCATCGAGAACCTCCGGCGACGCTTCCGGGAGAACCTCATCTACGTGAGGCCACTGGGGAGACCGGCGGGGTGCTGGGGGCACAGACGGGGTGGCGGGAGGGAAGCACCCAGGTCAGCAGATCAGCATCTGGCCCTCTTCGCCTGATCCCAGACCTACATCGGCCCCGTCCTGGTCTCCGTCAACCCCTACCGGGACCTGCAGATCTACAGCCGGCAGCACATGGAACGGTACCGTGGCGTCAGCTTCTATGAAGTCCCCCCTCACCTGTGAGTGACCCCGAAGTCCCCCTCACCTCTGAGTGACCCTGAAGTCCCCCCCACCTCTGAGTGACCCCGAAGTCCCCCTCACCTCTGAGTGACCCCGAAG